CTTGAAGGTCGTAGTCATTACGCTTCACGAAGGTGTCATCTCAACGTTGATGTTTTCGTCTGTTTGCGAAGCTACGAACTGTCTAGGATGTCAGTGATTTCAGAGCGATGACGAGACTGTGTCCTCCGTCTCAGATTTGCAGTTCTCAGATGTGGACAACATCGTCATATCTGATGACACTAGTGAGCTAGAAGAAGGCGAGGTTATAGAAAGTGGCGATGATGACAGAGACGATGAGAAAGGTTAGCACGTTTGCTGTGTTTTAGGAGGAAATCACAGTATCACTGATATTATGATTTTTTATGGAGTATGAAGATGTCTTGCTATTGCAGGTGGAGATCTTACTCTTGATCAGGAGGTCTTCAGGAGACTGATGGAAGAAGAGGTAGTTTACTTCTTGAAGTGGATTAGTGTTGTTCCACAGTCGTGTAAGATTGATGAGTAATTTTTCAGTATGTCAGAATTGATCCGGCAACTGTGAGAATCCCTGAACAAAGCCAGCACGTTGAGCCGGTTCCTTGCTCCGACTATCACAAAGTATGTAGTACAAGTGCTTTTATTCTTCTAAAAACTACTTATAATTACTAGTAAACTCTTTTACTCTAAATTTTTGCTCAGGCCTTTTGGTTCATCATGCTGAGTTGTCCTATTTAGTCGCGATCAAAACCCGGTGAAGTACGGACGACTTCAGATTATGCTCCAGTTCTAGAGATATTTCGTTCGTTGCTGAAAAGTGTTCAACAAATGAGAAAAGAGCGAACGAAATTAGAACCGGTCGAAAAGATATTAGTCCACTCCTGCTGGAGGTGTAAGTTCGAAATCCTTCATTCCAACTCTGTCTCACTATGTCTCTCATTCCGTGTAGCTGTTTTCTCGTAAAGGGGATTTCACGATAAATCGAAGTAGTGGAAATACACCTACTCGAAGGGCAGGTGGGCCCCTAATGGTGCACAGTGCGCGTTTGATACCCCAGCGGCCTAGAATGGCCAAACCCGCGTCGCTTGCTTGCTCACCTACTGGTTAGCCCTCGCCGTCGGACTCGAATTGGGATTCTGTGGCTTTAACAGAGAAGCAGAGCAGGGCGCTCGCACTGATGACGTCGGCACCGTTAAGACTCTGCGGAAATCGGTGGGCCAGATTGCCAGACAGAGCCATGCTTCGGGGTGTAGGCTTTTTTCTCAGATTTCCTTTTTGGGGCGGAAGTGGTGTAGTGGCAAGTGGCACGCTTACCACGCGAGCGGTCCGGGGATCAAATCCTGGGTCGTGAGTCGCCCGGGCCAACCAAGCCTTCCATCCCTCCGGGGTCGGTTAATTGGTACCAGACTTGTCTGGGAGGATAAAAACACTGACTTGTACATCGGCTGGCCCCCGCAAGTCATTGTATAGGCCACATCGCATTCAAATGCCACGAATGTACAAATGGAAGTAGAATGCGTGCCGCATCCCAAAAGGGATTGATCAACGGCAAATGCTTTATCCTTTATCCTTTTTTTCCTTTTACCGTGCATCAGTGATTATCTCCGTTTTGAATTCTTAATCATCAAATGGTGCTAATTTAGGCGCTCAAAGCTCTGAAAGCAGCGCTTCTGATTCCTCTGTAAGTTCCACATCTGACGACAGTGATTCTGATTCTGACGACCATTCCAATGCTGGCCTTTCCGACGTCAGCGATGACAGTGACACAGAATGGTGACGATGGAGGAGACTACGATGATTCAGGAAATGAGTGATGTGGAAAGAATGAACACTAGACAGCGTAGCTCATACCTGTTGAGAAAAGAAGTGAGACATCTGTTAGTGTATCTTTATTTTCTTTTTATATTTGAAATTCTAGTTCGACAGAAAGTACAGGAGTGGTGCAGCTTTGTGTGAAGACATATGCTTCAATGAACCCGAAGTGGTGGGTGGATTACCCTTTGTTTCAGATATGATAAGAGATATGTATGACAAAAATTGCTCCTTCAGGGTGCCTATGGACTTATGTGCCGGTGCTCGCCATCAGCTAAGAAAAGCGGCCTACGTCATAACGTCTTCCCTGGCGAAGCACGAATCCCTAATTGTATCCCAAATGAAAAGTGAGTGTTACTGTAGGCTTAAGTATTCCCTCAGAATGCTATCTTCCGCTTTTGTAACGCTTTTTACATGACAGAACAGATTTTTAACATTGTTTGGATTTATTTGCAGCAATGCTTCAAAGCTTCACCATTACGTGCTCGTCGTTAGAAGGCCAACGGCACCTCTTGGTGAGGGTACGCGCACTCGGATAAACTACTCTGGTGATTCGTACGTATTCCAGGGCTTCTCTGTAAGTCTTTACAGTATACTTTTCCATGAAAAACAGTCCCCAGTGAAAGCTGTGGCGCTCATATAGGCTTAATTCATAAGGTAGAGAGCAGTCTGATGGTTTTCTCTCTCATCCGCTTTGTGCATTCATATTTTTTCTCTAGAAGTTTAGACAAGATTCTACGAAAGCTGTGTCATTCAAATTGAATGCTCGTCTTGATTGGATAGTCTTTAGCCTTAAGGAAGGAACGAAGTTCTATCCATAATTGTTATCTGCGTAATTTTATCTCAACTTTTGAGGCAATCCTAGGACGACTGGAGCGTACTTTCTTTATCATGCTTTGTTCAGGTCTTCTTCCATCGTGAGCTCCCAGCAGTTCTTCCGTTAATGCCGGTTTCCCGTTGGATCAACGAATACGAGTTTCATTTCGAAAAAGCACCAATGATAAACGTGAGATTACCATCAACGAAGCAGTTTTTTCTAAGGTACTCAACAGCTCTCCTCTTTCAGTGTTTCACCGTGGAGGAGCTTGACATGTTCCATCAGTACCTTTTCGTGGACTTATTAGAACTCTACGATGAGTCATTACGTCCTTTCGGTGTTAGCGATGGTTGTCCAATTTACCATGTTATGCCACGATTCATTTGCGAACGAGGTTTCGTTTTCATTGCTTCCTTCTCATGAAGATCTCCTTATTCATGCTACTCTTCAGATGGCGTGCAACGGTTGCTACCCATGAGCATGGTGGTTCGGTAT